TTCTACATGTTCAATTACACTGTTTCAATAAAAGAATTAGTAAATAATATTATATCGTACCGGTTTGTGTCTACAAAAAAGATATGATTATTCATAGAGCATTATAATTAATAGTCCATTTTTTTGTCCACTAATATGGGGAGAGTAGTGGATTTGGTCTTTCCCCATTTGAATTATTGGTTATTTTGGTGTAAAAGGCAAATATTATGTATGACAACTTCTTCTTATTGTATGGCACAACGTTTCTGGGCTATTCCTTGCCCTTTCGCCAGGGCATGCCCATTATCTGTACATCTTACTCTATCATCTCCCGTTTCTTATCCAATTTATTGTATATACATGCAACACTGGTTTCTTGTACATTTAGTATATATACTCATTGATGTATCTTGACCTGGCGAAGGGGCAAGGAATAGCCCAGAAACGTTGTGACATACAATAAAGAAGAAGTTGTCATCCATAATATTTGTGTTTTACTTGAACACCAACTTCTAAATGCCTCTCAAGAACCTTACTTTGGTGTAGGTAAAATTGGTCTCGTCACATTGGCGACGTTATATTTTCCGTGTTTGTGTATATAGTAATTACCTGTATTGGTCCTCCTTGTTCTTCCACAGAAATACCACAATAACAGTCCCGACCAATATGCACAGGGTAAGAAAAGATGATTTAGTCCGACTCATTGTAAAGTTGGGTATTGCCCGACTATCAACACTGACGTGTTGTCCGTGACTAAAAACCCTTATCCACACGCAAGTAAGAATGCCCATCTCTGATTGGTTCACGTTACCTTGAACGAAACACCATGTATGCCTGGTACACCGCCCAGGCTTGGTTTACATGTAATTGTTTACGAGGGACAATACGACAGTCACAGAACCGTGAACAAGTGGTTCGGATCGATTAGTCAGTTCCATACTCGTAAGGTATGTGAATCAATTTCAGTTTCTTATGATGTTATATTTACTTAATGAGATATTTAAACCCCGTATACCCGTATTACAGTACTGCAACTTACACCGTCTCCACCTATCGAAGATGAGCTTTATTGTTCGAAAGTCAGGCTTGTGTATCAGGTAATGAATGGACGTTGCCAAGGCGTGCATGTCTCGCTTTATAGTGTTAAGCTACTAGTGTTACCTGGGAACCAGCATGGCCGGTATGAAGTTGGGAGTGTTAACGGGAGGGAAAATACAATAGGGGTAGGGTTGAGTCAAGGTTAGGGTAGGGTCAGTTGGTTTCGTTAAGTGTAGACGGGCGGGAAACAGGCGTTGGGTCGGGGAGAGAGTTCATGTAGAAGGCCTGGGTTAGGGATGCACTGTTTTGGGGGTACGGGGTGTGAGTACATGTACACGGGCAGTCGTGATCGTGATTGGGGTGAGGGTGAGTGGAGCTCAGCTGTAGTGAAGGTGTAGAATTTGGGGTTTATCTCACAGTCCCCCTACATTATTGTCCCTTCGGTCTGACATTTTCTCCAAAGCGAAAGCCTAAATGGAAGTTAGAGTGAGTGAGTTTAGTTTTACGCCGCACTCAGCATTATTCCAGCTATATGGAGGGGATCAAGTTAGGTTTTCCCCAGGTTCTAAATCTCACATCACACTCATTTTCAAATTAAAATATGATCATATGACATGATTAGACTGTTTGGGGTAAAGGTAGACTGAGGTTATGGAAACAACTGGGTTAGTGGTAGGTGGTGCTGTTATCATCGGGTTGAGGTTGGGGGTTGGGGGTTTGTTTGGGGGTGTAAGGTAGACTGAGGTTATGGAGACAACTGGGTTAGTGGTAGGAGCTGTTATCGGGTTGAGGTTGAGGGTAGGGTGTGTGTGTGTGATAGTGGTGGTTGGGGTTGGTGGTGGTGGTGGGGTGGTGGGAGTGGGTGGTGGTGGGGTTGTTGGTGGTGGGGGGTGGGGGGGGGTAGTGGTGGTGGTGGTGGTGGGTTGGGGTTGGTGGGGTTGGTGGGGGATTGGTGTGGTGGGGAGGGTGGATGTGTGTGTGTGTGTGTGTGTTTTTAACTATTTGCGGTAACAATGGAACAAATAAAACAGCTACGAGGCAGATCAATCAGTTTAACCACATATTGACTTAAGCGACCATGTGTTTGAAGCATCGCGGGACGGTAAGCGGTAACCTGGAATCATGATTACATGGCTACAAACACTGACACAGGTCAGTTAAAATATTAGAGAGACAGATTTGTTTCGCATACCTGTGATCTATTGGTCATTAATGCCACATCAGTTTTCTAAATCTGAATACATTCATGTTTATCAATATTGAATATATCTTCTCTCAGTTGACTTCTTAAGGCTAATTTACCCTTCATTTATAGTAAAGATTGTCGTTGTGTGGGGTACGTTCATATCTAAGGTATTTCATTCTAACATCTTCATACAATGAACATAATAGTAACAACGTCGTTGTGTTCGTTGTCTGTGTAATGTTTGAAATATTGACAGATCGAACTGAAAATATCATTACCTTTGAGGTGCTTCGTTGTATTTGTTGTTTTAGCGCAACACTCAGCAATATTCCAGCTATATGGCGGCTGTCTGTAAATAATCGAAACCGGACCAGACATTCCAGTGATCAGCTTCATGAGCATCGATCTATGCAGTTGGGATACGATGACATAGCTAGTGGCCAGGGCCCCGTTCCTAAAAGCAATCGTAGCGCTACGACAGTCGTAAGTCTATGTTAAAGTATGGGAGTTACGATCATCTTAGCGCTACGACAGTCGTAAGTCTATGTTAAAGTACGGGAGTTACGATCATCTTAGCGCTACGACAGTCGTAAGTCTATGTTAAAGTATGGGAGTTACGATCATCTTAGCGCTACGACAGTCGTAAGTCTATGTTAAAGTATGGGAGTTACGATCATCTTAGTACAACAGTCGTAAGTCTATCTTAAAGTATGGGAGTTACGATCATCTTAGCGCTACGACAGTCGTAAAGTCTATCTTAAAGTATGGGAGTTACACTGTCGTAGCGTTACGATCGCTTTGAGGAAAGGGGCCCTGGGTCGCTCACTTGATTACTTGGTTACTAAGTCAGCGATCCTGAACAATAGATACCGTTAGTAGCTTCTACGACATGCATGAAATTTTTTTGCGCTGCAAGTTACGCCAAACGTTCAAAATGACAAGAAAATACATTACTTCAATATGGTATGCACTGTGTTAAATCTATACCAAGTGCGTCGATATGGTAGAATGAGGTCACCAAGGCCGAACTTGTAAAATTTAGTGTGTAACCCCAATGAAAGAAGCGGAGGTCACCAAGACCGAACGATCCGGTAAGCTCCTTTGTAAAATGTAGTGTGTAACCCCAATGAAAGTAGTGAGGTCACCAAGACTGAGGTCACCATGACTGAACGATCCGGTAAGCCCCATTGTTAAAGCGTAGTGTGTAACCCCAAAGAAAGAAGTGAGGTCACCAAGACTGGGGTTACCAAGACCAAACGATCCGGTAAGCTCCATTGTAAAATGTAGTGTGTTAACCCACAATGAAAGTAGTGAGGTCACCAAGACTGAGGTCACCATGACCAAACGATCCGGTAAGCTCCATTGTAAAATGTAGTGTGTAACCCCAATGAAAGTAGTGAGGTCACCAAGACTGGAGGTCACCAAGACCGAACGATCCGGTAAGCTCCATTGTAAAATGTAGTGTGTAACCCCAATGAAAGTAGTGAGGTCACCAAGACTGAGGTCACCAAGACCGAACGATCCGGTAAGCTCCATTGTAAAATGTAATGTGTAACCCCAGTGAAAGTAGTGAGGTCACCAAGACTGTGGTCACCATGACTGAACGATCCGGTAAAGCTCCATTGTAAAATGTAATGTGTAACCCCAATGAAAGTAGTGAGATCACCAAGACTGAGGTCACTCATGACTGAACGATCCGGTAAAGCTCCATTTGTAAAATGTAGTGTGTAACCCCAATGAAAGTAGTGAGGTCACCAAGACTGAGGTCACCATGACTGAACGATCCGGTAAGCTCCATTGTAAAATGTAGTGTGTATCCCCAATAAAAGTAGTGAGGTCACCAAAACTAAGGTCACCATGTCTGAACGATCCGGTAAGCTCCATTGTAAAATGTAGTGTGTAACCCCAATGCAAGTAGTGAGGTCACTCAAGACTGAGGTCACCAAGACCGAACGATCCGGTAAGCTCCATTGTAAAATGTAGTGTGTAACCCCAATGAAAGTAGTGAGGTCACCAAGACTGAGGTCACCATGACTGAACGATCCGGTAAGCTCCACTGTAAAATGTAGTGTGTAGCCCCAATGAATCTAGTGAGGTCAACAGATATAGATCATGTGCTAGATTCGTTTCATCGACCGAGATAGATTGTAATGCAAGCAGGAGAGATTACAGAGGTTGTAAAGTAAGCCAGATGGCCCGTTCCGTTCATTTGTCCCCAAGCATCGGGTAAATCTATCTTCCGCCGGGTTGCCATGAGTCTGAATGCGTTGATTATATAAGCAACCCTTGGGTGAGAATACGCTACAAAAGCTCACTAAAGGCTAATGTTTTGTTGAGATTGGTCCATTTTCGTTTCTGTCTGAAGAATTAAGAGACACCTCTGCGAGAATCACTAAATAAACCTGAATGAAACCGTTACAGTGGCCCCAAAATATTTATTCTGTTCGATTTCACGAACAGAGTTAGTTTATTTATTTTCCTTTTTAAGTTACCTACATCCATTGAAAAAACACACTGAAAGGGTGTACCGCCACCAGGAATAGAACTGAAGGCTAACAAATGTAGTCTGGTCCAATATGGCCACATGGAAGAAACTTTAGGAAATAATGCAAATACATGCATGTAATACGTTATTCTGTGAAGTGTACGTACTTTCCATAATGGTGATCGGGTAGTTATAATTGGTGACGAGGTTGACGAAGTTTACTTCGTGCTAAAGTTGTTGCATCAAAATATATCATTCAAAGGTTATAGGAAGCTTTCAGGATGTTTTTGAACAGTGACGATAGTTCCACATTTAACCCATCAGTTTCCAATACTCAAAATAATGCCCCATTTATACAATATGTTTCCGATAAGGTTCATAAACGATTTCTTATGATAAAATCGAAATCGAGCAAATCGCTCTTCTTTCAGCAGACATTTCAAAACATTATGGATAAGGATATGTCGCTTTTCTTCTAATGTCACCTGAAAATACCCATATACTCCAATGCATCTAAGCATTAATAAGATTTGGGGTGTGGTAGCGTAGTGGTTAAAGCGTTCGCTCGTCACGCCAAATACCCGGGTTCGATTCCCAACATGGGTACAATGTATGAAGCCCAGTTGTGGTGTCCCCCGCCGCGATATTGCTGGAATATTTCTGAAAGCGGCGTAAAACTAAACCCACTCATTCACTCACTGTTAAGCAGATTGCTAGTGGGGAAAGAGATATACGTATTGCTTGCCGTTGGTGTCGTGTATGAATGGGATGATCACAATGCCACTTATGGTGTCCCAGTCAGTGCATGATGGAACTCAGTACTCAGTCCTCCGACAGCAGAGCGCCACCGAAATATGATGAACTTGGGTAGATATCACGTGAGAAGGCCATCTGCACCCACGTTTCCTCCCCCTTGTCCAGATGAGTTACCGTAATGGCAGAAGCATCAGTTTCATCAATGCTCGAGTCCGTCTCCGTGTAGCCGTTGGCCATGATCACTCCTCCTGACTTGATGATGTCGAAGGACATGTTCGTGTTTGCATGCGTCAGTGCCAGATGTGTCCAGAAGACGTAGGTTCCAGAGACTGGAGCAGTGAACGTTCCCGTGCTGGTGCTGTAGCCAGAGCCTTCGTTGTAGAGGATGGTGCTGAATATCAATGGCGTGTTTTCTGATGATGGACTTGAAGGGTAGTTCACATTGAATGCCACATTTCTGGTCTTTACTTCTGTAGATTAACGCAAGAAAAACCCAACAACAATTAGATCACAAAATAAGTAGATTACCATTCAGTAAGCGGAATGTATCAGTGTAGTTTATAAATATCAAGACATTTCTTTACCCCATACGGATGAAAAGTTATAAAACTTACAGTCAAGACAGTCAGTTCGGCAAATTGTTCAAAAGCATTGGATTGGAATTGAACATTTAAAATGCTGACACTGACTGACTGAGTTTGGTTGTACGCCGCTTTTAGCAATATTCCAGCAACATCACGGCGGGGGACACCAGACATGGGCTTCACACATTGTGCCCATGTGGGGAATCGAACCCGGGTCTTCGGCGTGACGAGCCAATGCTTTAACCACTAGGCTACCCCACCGCCCCTAAAATGCTTACAAGACCAATCAGTTAATCATGAAGCCAGAAAGTAACCTTCATTTTTCTTTTTAAGGAGGGATACAATATGTCATACTCTATGACCTTATAGCCAATAAGTGTTGACATAATTAAGGAAACAGAAATAATGTTCTTTCTCATAACAGACTATGGTCATAAATATATTCCTGAAAGCATGATCATTATGCGTACGGCACATCTTGTGTTCGGTAACACTTCTGAAGCTAAAATGTCGACTAAATTACCCCTTCTGAAGTATGCTAACAGGACACAAAACAGATAAACGCACGATCATCAATGGAACACTATGTTTTCCGCAATATTATGGGAACATTGTCAATCTTATGCACATCTACTTGCCTTTGAAAAGAACCTATTGTTAACCGAAATTGAGGCATGCAATTGTAAGCCCTTCCCTGATATGGGGTGATCTTCTCCAAGACATTCATCAACGTTTAGTGACCTCGGTGAGGCGGGCCTGCATACATGCACAAGGTAGACACACGCTACTCTAGATGGGACTTGCTTGTGAACACCCTGTTGTGTTGCGGCCCATTTGCATATGCCAAATGCACTTTTATTATGGACTATTGATCGATACCGTACATTGAAATATTTGTCTTTTCATGTAATAACATTTCATTCGCGTCACTAAACGTTTTTCACCAATTCTGGTTGTTGTTTGTGTGTCACAATACCGTTTGATTTTGGTTATAAATAATCGTTTAAGAGTAGTATTTAGAAACGAGCACTGACCATGCACTGAATCTAAGATGGCAGATTATGAATGGTTCCAGTTTAGATATCCTATTGAAGAAGATCTGGCTAGATTGTCTCGAAACGTTCGTATCCCTACGAACGTTTTAAGCCCATTATTAACACATTGGCTACGATTAAAGATAATAATTTCTAGGGCTACCCTCCTGGCAATGGAAGTGGATGCACAAGCGTTTTACCGAATTTTTCCTGAACAAGAGCTCACCTTGTAAAACCTTCAATAGTGATAGTTTGTTTCCATGGACTGCTTCTCAACCACAGATAAGTTGTTTTCAAAGTTAAAACATCGAAGATGGCCAGACTGAGGTTACTCTCTGCTAAGTGAAGATTCCTCCAGATTGATTGTATATCCAGCCTGACAAAGGGACATGTTGGAATAGGATGACTTCCATATCGTCCTCAAGCTTATCGATATGTTTAGATGCAGTATGAGCTAGCATTTTGGCGGCTTGGAGTTTCATGCTTTCTTCCGACTGTTTCTCTGTGAATGTTTGCACCCAGGAAGACATATTTTGATAGAAACCATGTCCTTCTGTCTTTACGTCGTACACAGTCGAGTTCACAAGATTTAGTTGTTTGTTTAACCGCATGACATCAGACATTACCGCTTTTACCTGTGCCGTGTTCACGTTCACATCGTGACTGACGGAATCCAGAAGTGTCTGATTAAGATGAACACTATCACGATGATTACCATGTGTCATATCCTCCACTTGTGTCTTGACCATGATGAGTCCATCCGATGTTGAACGAAGCTCTGCCTTCAGTGATGAAACTTCGTTTTCAGAGATGATATTTCAGCAGCTGCCAACTGTTGTCGTGTTTCACTCGACTGTAGTTGTGTTCGAGTTGTGTGTAAGTCGTTAATGGTAGTCTGAAGCTGTGACTGCGTGGCCTGAGATCTTTCTTTGTGGCATGCAGTTCAGACTGGACTTGTGAAGTTGTTGTTTGAAGACTGGTCAAAGTTTGCTCAAGCAGTGACACATGATTCAAAAGACTGGGCATGTCTGCAGAACCATCTGAATTTGTCATTGGCAGGATTAGTCCCGACAGAGATCCCGCCAGCATCACACACAAAAATACAACCGTCACGTACATTGTACCGTGGACTCGTTATGTCCTTAATTGGCATTATTATCAGCACTGGCAGCTGTCCGTTCATTTATCTTGGATCACGTGATAGGAGCGTTCTGTTGGAGATAACGACAGTTGTTACTTCTACGGCTGTGTGTTGTAATGGTCAAACGTCGAATATATTATTTGGAAAGTAGTTTGCACAAATGATTGAATCAGAACGCATACAGGACGAACCACATGATTGTGCCATGGATGTGCCACATGATTATGTTAGTATGTCATACGACTCTCCACCACGCAGAGTCGCAGCAGATTGTAAAATCGTGGCACCTGCACCTACTACCAAATAATACAAAAAGTACATAGGACGAGCATTAATACAGTAAAATACAGTTAAACCGGACCATAATTCGGTCGTTAAACCAGTAGGTCGCTATACCCATTAAGACTAAGACATGTAATACCTGCCAGGAACCTTAATGTAGTTTGTTATATCCGTCAGTTATAAAGGTGTTTCTTACAAACAACGTGTACTGTATATGTAAAATATATTTTGTTAATTCAATATATACAGGTGCTGCTTGGGTGTGTTCGACAGAAAGCTCGAACTTTTGAGAAATGGTCACAGAACCGTAGAAAAGTGAAATTGGCATAATTACACTTTACTGTTAAGATACTATCCCAACACGAGCTGAATTCGACGTTCTGGTGATTTCGACGATTGCATTGCACGCGCTATATCGGGAGTACGTGTGAGATCGGGTGCACAAACAGTTTCACTGGTAGGGCGGGTGCCCAGTCGCTGTCGTGAGAAGTTTTATTGACAATGGAAATAGGGAAGTAAAGTTATATAACAAGCAAACAAACATCAATATTATTTACCCGAGATCTTAATACCACTTCAGATGCAAAATCAGTTGCCTTTATAACAAAAATGGAAAGCGAAATTTCAGTTGAATCAGTCGTCTGCTGGTGACAGGCAATATATAAATAGGAAGCCACGTTATCACAACACTCCCTCGCAGTGCGGAGCAAAAGTATGGCTCATCGTCGAAAACCCATACAAAACCCGCATGCTACGAGCGGCAACAATTTCGCCCATACGATGCCATCAACACTATTTTTGTAAGGAACACTTGATATTTTGTGTGAAATAGATGAATATATCCTTTATCACTCAAAGGTTAGTAAAATAAAACTTTAAATGGTATTACAGATAAAAAAATACGTTTTGTCTTACATCGTCGAAAACCCCTGACACCGGGATATCATGTTTCGGTATTTGTATTGCGGTAAATACGGTTCTTGAACCTGCCCCGAGTAAGGTGCTCCAGCTTTGTTTACTAGCGGTGGGCTAGATTTGCTTTACACAGACCAAGCGATTATTTTTTTATTTTAATGTGTGCTAATCGTCCAAACTGCAATATTTACAGTTTTACCTTCGTGGTGGGCGAGCTAGCTAAGGCGGCAGGCTAGTGATCCAGCGAGCATGAGGTGTCCGGATCGAGCCCACCTGTGACCGGGTGTAAAATCCTTGTCAGTTTTGCATGCAGATTCTATCAGTGTTGTGACAACCGCCTATATTAGACAGGTAGGTTCAAGCTATAACTGAGGTGAAAAATTAAATGTTACAACTTGTGACTAACATATAAGAAACGTAGTATGATTACATACACACTGATTTTCCGGATTTTATATAGACCAGCTCTGATCTGATACACACTTCAATATGAAACCGAAAAAGGAAGGTTACAACTTTTGACTAACATACAAAACACATGCTATGTTTACATACGCACACATTTTTCGGATTTTAAAGAAGTAAGCTCTGATGTACACACTTAAACACATGCAACATATTTGTTCATACTTACAAGTGTCATGGGCCCTATACACACAAAACGAATGTAATTAAAGCTTCACTTGACGCCGTGGTCCAGACTTGAGCACATATTTTTCACAAGATTAACCGGGAGAAACCTGAAATAATTAGTCAACATAAATGATTGATGCAAACATGAAATATTTACTGTTGACGTCATGCAACAGCTGTCACTCTGAAATATATTGCTTCACTTCTTTCCGCTTTGTGATTGCAGAGTTATCCAGTGCATTCCAAACGATTACGCCGCTTCCATATACAACCATGCATGTCAACATCATGGCGTGGTCAGAGCCCGAATAGAGATCCTGAGATCCATCCACGTGTTATCACTGACTTCTACGGAGCATCCAGATGATAACATAAAGGATGAACAATTATGGATGTGAAGCTGCATTAGGAGGGACACGACGAACCTACAGGAGGTCATTGACATCAGGAGTGATCAGCTATCAACCGTGACCAAGGTAAACACCTGAGTATCTACTGTCTCCTGTTGTTAAGCCCCCAACATTGTCATCAAATCACCGTTGGTTCTCATATGTGTATATTTCTTCAGTAAGAATACATTCCAAAATCACCTGTCCCTCATGTAACAGAAGTTGATAGAAATATATGTTCACCCTTTATGTGTATCGCTTCTATATGTGATTCAAAGACGTGATGATAATACTCTGTGTTATTGTTCACTCAAATGTCTGCTCTATCCGTAAAACGAGCAGTAAAACACTCGAAGGTTTATTTGGAAACTCTTCCGGGTACTTGATATCGAGACGGGTATCTCAATCATTCTTGGCTTGTTCCTGCAGGAGTCCGGGGTAGAATTGATCTTCAGCAAAGGCACGGCAGGTATTGACTAATGGCGTCGGGTGATCAGGCACTCCGACCTGATGTATGCATGTCCTGAAGGCATATGTTATTATCATCATTATTATAGCATATTTATATAGCGCACATATCCACGCAACCTGTGCTTGCTCAAGGCGCTGATATTTTTTTCTCCTCGATTATTGGATGTCAGTCTCAACGGCACATCGTATTATCAATCTCAACTCCCTGGGGAGTATACAACTCTTGCAGCCACTAGGCGCACCAAGTTAATGTGGCTTTCTCATCCTAACGAGGTACCCATTCACAGCTGGGTGGATTGGGACGATAGTCACACTACTTTGTTTACTGCACAGTTTACTGCACGTTGCTGTACCCACAACTAGGTGTTTCCACGTATTCATGTGGACACCATCTCGTCATATACCAACAGATTCGTGGGTTCTTTTAAGTGCACAGGGTTGTGTAATGTACACTAGGGGGTGTGACAACACGGAAAGAGTCTGCACACAAAGTTGACTCTAAGGTTTTAACACCCGGTCACAGGTGGGCTCGATCCCGACACCTCAACCTCACTGGATCACTAGCCCGGCGCCTTAGCCAGCTCGCCCACCACGCCAAATATGTCGATGACCATGTCTGTCTGATATAGACTCGATTATTTACAGACCGCTATATATTGCTGAGTGTGGGGTTAGGCAGGCAGCAAACAGATGCTGTTTCTACAGTGTGTTTAGTTTGTGCAGTCAATGCATTGTCCTTCACTCCAAAGAGGATATTTCCTGGCGACAGCTCAGTGTCTTAATATGACATTTGTATGTATCCCCATTATGAATTTACTGCCCATAAATACAATAAAAACTCATTGAAATTTGATTAAATGAAACACTAATTTTAAGTTCAATAAATTGATATGGTAAAGGGCGGGGGTTGGGGGTGGGGGTATTCCATTCCTGAATCGCAACAGATCCACATCTTAAAGATGGATTATATGTGGACATAGCTTGTGGCAGGTTTTTATCACTAATACTAAATCCAATACCATGCTCATTATACGACGGAAGAGTGAGTGGGTGTGGTATTACGCAGCTTTGAGGTTGGGTTGTTGTTTTACGCCGGACTCAGCAATATTCCTGCTATATGGCGGCGGTCTGTAAGTAATCAAGTCTGGACCAGACAATCCAGTGATCAACAACATGACCATCGATCTACGCAACTGGTTACTATGCATAGGATACAAACACTGTTAAACAACGATTATGACAATCCGACATAGCGTCTCATTTCATATGTGAATGGGTAAGGTATAGTTTATTTATCATTTTTTGGTAACTGTTTGATGATATGTTTGGCAATGTTAATACATCATCAAAATCTATTGAGGCAAAGGCACGGCAGGTATTGATTACAACTGCAGTGTATACGTACAGCGGTTCTCCAAATTAACGATAAAAAATGTCTAAGAAAAATGTTCCTTTTGCAACACAATTGAGACAGTTTCATATGTCGACCCGAATTGTTTTGTTGTTGACGTGAATAATTCGGTCACACGGCAGTGAGCTGGCTGAGTCACTAGTGCATTCATCTAACACGCAGGAAAAGGAAATGCGGCAGACAGACGGGTCATAGTACAGAATACATTATACACAAGCATTGCACAACATCCGATGCTGTCGTTCATACACTATATGCAGGGCAAACGACATGGGTTCGTTAATGTTTTACAACTGACCTTGGAAATAGTTAAATCAATCACAGGTAAGTCATCATTAAAAACTGTTGAAGGCGTCGTTAAAGAAAATCGTTCACTCACACTCAGTATTCTCCCTTTCTCACTGAATAGATCGCTTTGTTGATCTCGCGTGATCGTGTGCGAAATATCTGACGGCAATTATTCTATAACCAGCACGCTGAACATACAGATGGCAAACGGAAATAATATGACCTCCTGTTATAGGGACTAATTCAGGACAGCCATCGTCCAAATATTTAAAATGTAAAAACTCAAGACATGTGAGACTTTATTGCAATTATTTATATGATGCTAGTCTGTATTCCATGTAATCCTTATCACTTCCGCATTGTACATTGACTTGTCAGGCAATTAATTACTGTATATGACATTTATAACCTTTATTGGTCATCCCCCTTGGCCGTGTCTGCAATCACATCAACTGGTCAAGGAAGTGCTATTGTTTTTCTATCTGTCCATTGTTGAGTCGTCGCCTGTCCATTGTTGTCAAAAACTGTATATATACTTAGTATGCTCACATCTAGACGGTGAAAGAGTACGAGTCCGGTATTCCGACTGTCTCTAGGCACGACCACGAGCAGGATAATGCCGCTCGTAGGAAACGCCCTGGGGTTGAGCAGGTACTCTGCTCACCACATGTATGTCTAGTGTATTTGTTTTTCATGTAACTAAAGAAGTTTGAACTCAACGTATTCCTTCGTCTTGTCAACGTATTGTACGTACACCTCATCTTAAACATGAGCTTATTCCCCAGTCGACGCATATGCCACGCGTTGACACTCATTACTCGCATTGCTGGACCCCAAGTCTAATGAAGGATTAACCTACTACACGTGTTGTTCCTGTTCTGGATCAGGCCTGTACGGGTCATACACTATTTGTGTTGGGTTCGGTGCGGGGTCTTTGCGAAAGAATGTCCTTTCGTTGACACGTTTTAAAAAGGTATATATATTTATCATGAATAAATAACTATTTTTAGTCACGAAATGGCTGCAGTAATGCCGCTGTGACTATAAACTTTAACTCACTCACTTTGCGAAAGCCAAAATAGTTCATATCAGATAGCAAGGTTAAAAGTGAAGAGCAATTGAAAATGAGGAGTGTTTTATTTCATTTTGAAATATACTGTTCATGACGTCAATTTCAGAGATTTGAACATTCGCTAGCAGCTTGATGACGCCGAAATTTGTACGGTTACATTTTACGAGCGTTGTGAGTTGGCGAGACATTGCAATCTGGAACTGCTTCTTTGATGGGCATTTTAGAAGTTGAGTTGATGAAGCATAATGACGCCTCCACAGAATAAAAGAAGTTGTATATCCATAATAATTGTCATTATTCTTAATCTCGAACTGGAAACAAAATTCAGATAATTACTCAGATAATTTATAATTTTGACATATTTTATCTTTATAAACATAACACACATATTCATGAAATTTACATGTCCCAATTTGGGATTACACTTTCTTAGTAAAGTACAAATTCTAGGACTTGTTTGAGTTGAGCCCCATCCCATCTGGGATTCGAAATCACACCCTCAGAGTCAGGCACCTAATCGCCAGCACACAAAGTCAGCCGCCTAAGGTGTGAGTTCGAATCCCGGATGGGATGGGGCTCAACTCAACTCAACTCAAAAAAGTACTAGAATTTGTACTTTACTAAGAAAGTGTTATCCCAAATATAACATATGTTACATTTGACCTCTTTCTAAATGTCATTGTGTAATCGTCCCACATTTAAGCTATCTGTTTGTATTAATGTCGTCATCAACATTTAATCCTGAAACGTATTGTACATTCCCTCCATTGTATATATTTTGAACGCGGTCAGGGTGTCCGAATACAATGTGTGTGTAAAGTGTGCTTATTATATACATCCTCAACCAGTACACAGAAGAGACTGGACTGTCGAAAATAAATAAATACGGAAGTTGTAAAAATATTTTAGATAGTTGTGCAAATTATTTTACTCACTTTTCAATTAAGGTCACTTGGTCATGGTCCTTAAATTAAATCAATTTAAGGAATACAGCTTGCTCTATTTCTTTTCTCATGTGCCAAATTTAATACACAAGGAATTATTCTAGGCAGAAAACAAACAGAAAATCGACGGTGTCGTTGACCTAAATTTACAATCCTCGTACAGGGCTAACTGACGGGCTCTAACAGTAACGTGTCTGGAACCTGCCTCGTATTATGTGTATTGTCAGTCTGTTTCAACTAGATGGTGACATCTGCGACCTGCATCCAGCTGATGATACCTAACATTATCACGAGCGTTGAACTTACAAACAAAAGGCGACATTAAGCCATATTTGCACACCCACTTAAAGACCTGTAACAGCTATTCGCAAGCCTACATTGTCATTCTTCGCTTAACTCCACACAGTCTGCCATTCATTTAATGCACAGCGGGAGAGGTCCAGGCTGTTTTGAAACGTTTGAAGTTTCAGCCCTTGCGTGTGCTACCCGCAGTTCATTTTTTCATTCATTCATATTAACGGAACATGCTATTACAGTCCATGACAAAAAAGTGACTGCACGACTGTATGACAGTGTCACTGTGTTCAAGTGAGCTTGTGTTTGATGAGTGTGTGATACGGACCAAACTGTGTACCTCGATACTGTGCAAACATTACCTCGTACTTGGCAATATACATGATCACCTTTCACAGTGATAAGCGATTTGGGAGTATTCACCGAGACACGTAGCTGATCACCATCTGGGTCACTGATAAAGGTTAGTCTGTTTTTATTCCACATTTAACTTGAGGACGACTAGGTGAACGTCGTTCTGTACGCCGCACAGTTACAGGAAAAATCGACAAGGGGATTTGCCAGGCAATTGTTTAAATGGCTCTGTCAGTGAGGAAGTGAGACTATCAAGTGTATGTGAGTGTTTTGAGCAGTTTTTATGTTGTGTCATGGTGTGTCTAAAACCAATTTACAAAAGTTGTTTGATCAAGTTACAGCATTCAAGACCCCAGTAAAGTTTTTTAAATTGCTTTATGGAGGACAGGTGGAGGGCATATCCAAATAACAGTGACACAAAAAGATGCAAAATAAATCCCCATTGGAATCGTTGCCTTTTGTTCCATATTTTGAACATGACACTCAAAAGGTTTCTAAGGTGATTAGAGAGAGTGTGTATGTGTCGAGATAGTGCATGAAACTGAGTCAGTAAGGTTTCTAAGACAGATTGAAGCCTATGGCTACGTGGCGAGGTAGTGGTTGAAACTGAGTCAGTAAGGTTTCTAAGACAGATTGGAGACAGTGTCTTAGTGTCGAGGTACTTGTTGAACCTGAGTCAGTAAGGTTTCTAAGACAGATTGGAGACAGTGTCTTAGTGTCGAGGTACTTGTTGAACCTGAGTCAGTAAGGTTTCTAAGACAGATTGGAGACTGTGTCAGTGTCGAGGTACTTGTTGAACCTGTAAGGTTTCTAAGACAGATTGGAGACAGTGTCTTAGTGTCGAGGTACTTGTTGAACCTGAGTCAGTAAGGTTTCTAAGACAGATTGGAGACAGTGTCTTAGTGTCGAGGTACTTGTTGAACCTGAGTCAGTAAGGTTTCTAAGACAGATTGGAGACAGTGTCTTAGTGTCGAGGTACTTGTTGAACCTGAGTCAGTAAGGTTTCTAAGACAGATTGGAGACAGCGTCTAAGTGGTGAGGTACTTGTTGAACCTGAGTCAGTAAGGTTTCTAAGACAGATTGGAGACAGCGTCTTAGTGTCGAGGTACTTGTTGAACCTGAGCCAGTAAGGTTTCTAACACAGATTGGAGACAGCGTCTAAGTGGTGAGGTACTTGTTGAACCTGAGTCAGTAAGGTTTCTAAGACAGATTGGAGACAGCGTCTTAGTGGGGAGGTACTTGTTGAACCTGAGTAATTGTAAAATGAACAGATCTGCTGGGTGAAAGGCAGTAGATGTGGGCGGGAAGTGTTTGATTCCAGGGTAAGTATGTTTCCAGTAAAGGCGGGAAATTGTGCGAAAGAGTGGCTGACTGGCAGTAAATGAATGTGCCAGGTTCGTGAAACATTGGGAGTAAGTTATACTTCGTTATAGAAAGATATACTGAATAAACCTTCGCATGTGTCCAACATAAATGTAAACTAGATATGTAGACTACATTTGGCACGGTTGTCATTGAGAGATTTGAATGTGTACGTCAGATGAAAGATGTAAGTAGTTAGGTAATCGTTGAACCTGAGTAAATTTCCACGACCGGTAAAGTATTGTAATGTAAGAAGTGAAATAGTGGTCACATCAGAGTAAAGTGTTATAGACAGATGGAAGACAGTGTGCAAGTGGTGAGGTTTTCAGTAAGTGTTTATTGAGTAATGTTTACATAAAATGACGTGTTTCCCGAGTTATAAACTTCCACTAGATTTTTCCTTTCCGCCATGTTAATTCTTTATTAAGTTACAAAATTACATTCAAATGTATTTGTTAACTACGACGTCCAAAGGTTCGCCCAAATTGGCTTCCATCGTTCACCGTTAGGCACGTATAACTTGGTGTGGACAGCATCTATGTTTCAGACGGCACGCCTGGCATGATGTGCTGTTCACAAATGAGTCTTGGTATCTTTTTGAGATGTTCATTGCAAGGGACTACGTTTAAGCGAAGCTTCCTTTACTAAACATAGTAAGATTCGGGGTGGAGTTGAATTTGTAGCTGGTGGTGTCACAACTCACGGAATAACACAACGCATCCTGGCAATTTCATTGTTATTGGGACGACGTACTTATAAGCAGAAGGAGGATACGTTTTGAGTTATCATAACATTGTTGTACTGCCATACCGCTGTTTCTCCAGAACTCACAGAAATGGCTGGGATGAGATACAACGATACCGACGACAGGATCAGAACTAACCGTCTTTACTATCGCAGTTTCGCAAATTAGAGTGAACGAAATCCCCAAGAGTGTCGCAAACGGTGGTGAAATCGGAGATTGAAATGGTATACCGAGTAGTTAATCGCTCCTCAGTTGAAACACAGGACATGTAGCATGTCTTACCGAGTCATTCCAATAGGTAAACGTTGTTGTTGGGTGTGTCACTAATTTTATTTTTTATTGTCGGTCGACAGAATGAAGACAACACACGACGTAGACCGTGGATATGCCTATGTCATTCTGCTGGCCTCGTACTGTGTGATGTTCATCTGTGGGGTGTTGGTGTACTCCACTGGGGTGATGAACACCGCTATCTTGAAAGAAGTTGACAGCGACCTCTCACGAACGTCATGGGTTGGCTCGACACTACTGGGGACCTTCACCTTCATGGGTATGGTTAAGAGAATGTAACATACATGTTGCCAAATATACCGTTGGCTTGGCTTCTCGTACCTGTGAGGACCCGCGTAAGAATGATTGGTTTTCAGCAACCAATGTTTGCCGTAAGAGGTGATTAACTGGATCGGATGGTCAGGTTCGGTGACTTGGTTGATGCATGCCATCGTATCCCAATTGCATTGATCGATATTTATGGCATCAATCACTTGATTCTCTGATTCAGAGTTTAATATTTATAGATCCCCGTCCCAGGGCCCATGCAGGAAGCAAATGTACTGTAAGTCCCCATGGTCCCCAGGATGCTGGTCTACCTTCAGTTGTTGGCAATAGCCTTTTTTATATTGTATTGTCTTCTATAGTTAAAAGTTTTTAGTTTTTCATACTAGTTTTATATCTATATCCGTATCCGTGATGCTCTAGTTATTTTACTGTCCCTCGTTGACAGGGTTTTATGATTTGACTATATTTATTACGGCTTTATTTCTTATTCTTCTCCTCGTCACGATATGGATGCAATATTGCCGATGTGACGTTAAATTTCACTCCCTCACTCACTCATAGACCGCCGTCATATAGCTGAAATATCAAATGACAACCTGACATCCATGTACATAAGTATTTTCAAAGTACAGATTCAGGCTATTTGTCATTGGGGACTAACATTCATATTTTTGAGCTGCAGAATATGTTCTTTAAATAAATACACAGAAGCAACACATATAAAAACAGGGTCAGATTAGTCTATTTTCAACAGTCTGAAGGACAATTATTTTTAAACAATTCCTGGGACAATATATTATTCGATGTACCAGGGTCACAACACCCTCCCAACCCTGACTCAGTTCTTCACACAATGAATACACATCCAAGCAGACACCAGGCATTCAGTGTGAAGGACATACACAACGTGAACCATTTTCCAGGTCCCTTGGCGGGTCTGATCACAAAGAAACTCGGCTGCAGGCTGTCCTGTTTCGGAGGAGGAATGCTAATCTTGCTGGGACTCGCTGCGGCATCGTTTGTTCATGACGTTACTGGACTCATCATTACATATGGAGTCATTGCAGGTGATCGCAGGAAGTACTAACCACCATAGCATGTATACTGATGTGTTAGAAATTCAGCTCCAAATATGTTGAACAATTACACGCTTTTTCAATGAAGCAACATTTCACTGGATACGTCAATCCACAGAAAACAGCAGTGCATCAAATTGTAATAATCATTTTATGTGCATCATTATTTTGTCGATTTCAAGACAACTATTTCCCTACATGCTGATTACCCATTACTCTCAATGTGCGAGAAAGATTCCATAGCATGGAACAATATCAGGAAAAACAAGCCATTGAGGTCTGATGTATTTGTTCATGTTGTATCCGTTCGCTCGTTAGTTCTTTCATTTGATCTTCATTTATTGTCCTGGATTTTTCAGGGTTTGGCGTTGGTCTGGGGCTGAATTCCGCTGGCGTAGCTCCTGGCCATTACTTTATCAAAAAACGAGGTCTGGCGTTTGGCGTGACTGTATCAGGTGCTGGTATGGGCATGTTTGCAGGAGGTCCTCTATGTCAGATACTGGTCGAGGAGTACGGTTTAAGTGGCTGTCTTCTCATCTTAGGCGCCATCGCCTCCAATATGTGTGTTGCAGCCTGCCTCCTCAGACCCGCACCAAGCACCAAGCAGGAGATAATCATAGAAACCAAACATGAAGCGGACACTGGCATATCAGAAACATTCTTCAACGAGTCAGCTATATCAAAGGCAAAAATGCCTGTTGATAGTGTCGACAGTGTTGATAGTGTCGACAGTGTTGATAGTGTCGCATCTGTAATAAAACCATTGATGTTGGACAATTGTAGTAATAGTGGTGGTGCAGTTCAACATTCCACGAACTATCGGGAAAAACAAATCAGAGTTGGACATAATGTAAATGTGTTACATCGGAATGAGCTGTTCACTTCAAGTAATGAGGATGAAGGCTTCCTTGACCCGCGTAACTACATGGGCATGGAATCCAAAGAATATCGTTCACACAATAGTTCGGTTTATGAGGAAAAATCACCTGATCCTTTCCGAATTTGCCTCAAACGGATTAGAAGAATAACTTTACTAAACAAATATGGTTTCATGAGCTATTGTGTCAGTTATCTGTTCTGGGCACTCGGGGAAGGAGCGTGTCTCTTCCACCTTCCCAACTATGCCGAACATAAAGGCAGTACAGAAACTCAAGCAGCTAGTCTTTTTACGGTCATGGGAGTGACAAGTCTTAGTTCAAGACTCCTGACAGGGTTTGCAGGAAATGATGTCTCGGTGGATTACATGACACTTCACATGGGACTTCTGGGAATCACTGGACTCCTAACACTGTGTTTTCCACTTTTCTCAAACTCCTACGTTCTTCAGATGACATTTAGTGCTGCATATGGGATGTATAGTGGCGGCCCTAACTCTCTTGTCAGCCCAATAACGATAGAGCTTGTAGGTTTGAAGCATTTAGCTGTTGGAGTAGGGATCGAAAACTTCTTTTGTGGAATTGGTTTCTTCGCTGGCCCTCCTATTGCAAGTTGGTATACCGTTAAATTTCTCGCTAATTGTATGTTTTATGAATTCTTGATAATTCTTTGCAATAATTCTTGCAAAGAAGAGTACTCTAAATATTGAGAAATGTCTTTAATAATAACCTATATATTTCGAATGTTAAATTTCACTTTGAATATGTTTTCAATTTGTTACTCAAGGTAGGAAAACGAACGGCAGTCATAAACGAGTAATGATAACGTGGGGACTTCCTCTGAAAAATAGCTGATCGGTTACCAGAGGATATGTTGTTATGAACGCATTTTTTCCAAAATGAATAACCATTTCGATTGGCACTATCTTTCGAATAAATTCTGTATTTCAGGTTTCATATATTCAGCGACAAGGTGTTACGACTTCACGTTCGTATTTGCAGGTGAGATCAATACACTAAAGACATAAAGTTCTTTCCAAACAGTTTTTAAAATCTATTAAGAAAACAAGGAATTTATAATACTATGTTTAGAAAGCTTCGAGAGATGATATTCCCAGGCTTCACAATATCTGGAACGTTGTCCTTCAGTTTAGGGAGGTGTTGAAAGTTTGGGAGAATTGAAAGCTGTTGGCAGCAGTTTATGGTACTTTTGGAAATTTAGTGAATAACAGTCCTCCCTTGTTAGTTCATGTACGTGCAGATCACAACTTACATGTACATCATATCCTGGAACCAAATACATGTAGCTTCCACGAAAACGAGGTAGGTCTGTCAAAGTTCAGTCTTCCTTTGTCCACTTCATTAAACACATACAAATCAAGATCCTAACATCCAGCACCCCATGCTTGTCGTAAGAGCGGATTTACGGGAGCGGGTGATCAGAATCGCTGGATCATAGTATCCCATTTGCGTAGATAGATGCTCATGGTGTCAACCACTGGTCCAGACTCGATTATTTACAGAATATTGATCTTCAGTAACCCATGCTTGTCGTAAGAGGCGACGGACGGGATCGGGGGTCAGGCTTGCTGACTTGGTTGACACATGTCATCGGTTTCCAATTGCGCAGATCGATGCTTATGCTGTTGATCACTCGATGGTCTGGTCCAGACTTGGTTATTTACAGACCGCCGTCATAAAGCTGGAATATTGCTGTGTGGGCGTATAACTAAACTCACTAACTCACTATTTACAGACCGCCGCCATAAAGCTGGAATATTGTTGTTGTTGTCCCTTGTTCATTCATGTGCCAGAAAATGGTGCTGTTTGTTCCAGCCTATTTGTAGTTCATGCGGCAGCTATCGGTGTCTGAACAAGTAGTTAGATATGCTATATTTGAGCTTAACTAGGATGGGCTAATTTTAATTTGGTAGACTCATTATCTATTTGCAAGAAGCAAGTTGAAATACATTTATAAAAGCATCGTGACAATTCCAATATATATACTGTTTCGTGTGAGTCTCATGGTTTGGAATATGTTAACGTATGGCCTGTTAACTTGCACAAAGATAATTACACTTAAAATATTATGACAGTGTTTTGAGATTTTCTTTTCACTATAACATGGTATTCAAGATCTTAAAATTGTTATTAACTGTTCGTGCGACATGAATAATGTTTTTCACACAAACCACTTCCTTGAACTGCCAACCAAACAGCTATGATTATTCAAACGAATTTTAGGGCAATGAAATGGTAGGTATTTTATGTATCATTTTCAACTTGATTATACATGTACAAAGCTGACTGTTGTTTTTTAGGATTACTTCTGCTACTTGCGGCATTCTTTGGTGCCCTTGTGGCAATATTTGGGAAGCACAGGCAACAGATGCAAGGTGTTCAGGCACCACATGAAGTAAAATAGGCTGTGGATGTGTCTTTGAAAGGATTGACAAGGATTGCCACAACATATGAGCTGACGTTCAAGGAAGTGACAGTCGAGAGGCTGCTCCTCCATGACAACCCCTACTACCAATGCCTTTACCTAGCAAGGACACCGTAGGTCGAAATGTATGACATGATTAACAGTTAACAATTCAATTTATAAAACAATTATGAAATGACCTCAAATCACGTTGTTTCTTTTCTCTACAAAAGAAATCAGATAATAATAATAATGGAATACAAAGCGAAATATTACTCTTTAGCGTAACAATCAATGTTTGTATGTTGTTCCAAAAAGAGGATACGTTAAAGTTTTCAAGGTAGTCCATACAGGGAATCCTATGTTATACGTTAAGAAGTGTTTCCTTTGTTCACAGAGCAGATCACCTCTTACAAACACGATCTCTGAAGCTGGAGAGAGCGCATTGAAGCGGGAATATTGATGATTAAACAATGAAAAGAAAGAAACGATTCCTGTGTGTCAATTGTTTCCTTTGTTCCATTCACCTCTCACAGGCACAATCACTGGACTGAGCGTTCGAGTACACCAGATATGGGTTTCACACAGCTGGAATGTATCCATGTAGGGAATCGAACCCGGGTCTTAAACGATCAGACAAGCGAACGCTGTAACCATCGGGCTACCCTACCAACAGACCATGGAACCTGGAATAAAGGGCATTGAAGCGTAAACATATCCACGTCAATGTCTAATAATACCAAGTCTCGATTTACCGATGACGCCAGTCATTTGTTTGCAATGAATGCCATACATACAGTAGAGGTGTAGTTAGTTTATTAAACCGACACTTGGGCTCGTGAATACTTATGGATAAATCATAATACATGTGAAGACTTGCCAGAAGTCCAGAATACCGAGGCGGCGAGGATAAATCGGGTGGATACCCAGTCGGCGAGGATAAATCGGGTGGAAGTCTTAGCTGTGTCACATGGAATGTGTAGGACTGGCGTGTTCACAACGTCATGGTTGAAAGACAAGTGGGTCACTGCTAAAGGTTGGTCTATACTTTTAGCTTCACATTTCACACGATGAAGATGTTTGTTGAATCGCAAGATTTAGTTATGATATTCGAATGTACACACGATTTGTTTGTTGTTATCTGAAACAGAGATGTGGTGTTCAAATGGATGACTACATAAATAACATGGAATCACCCAAGGGGATCCACAAGGTGTAGTGTATTGAGTAGCAGGCGTGTGTTCGTCGACAAGACAGCGGCTGACTATCTGTGAAGGGACGTTATTGTTGAATGTCAATGTGCACGGGGGAGAACGAGATTGAATCGGAGGTGAGTCAGTTTCCAATGCAGGTGAATAGTGGGTAGGGGGCGAGACGGCAGCTGCTACTGAGAAGGGACCTACGTCAGGTGGCAAAGTTCGTACTTTTTCAGTGTAGTGACTTCTTTGAGAGGCATTTAGAAGTAGGAGTACAAGAAAGTATTAGATGTACGGTAGCATAACCTCATTGCAATAGGTGGGACGTTTTGGTGTTGGTTCTGACACCGTTACCAAGCAGAAAACTTCGTTCATATTGTAATAAGGATGTTCTATGTGCATATATGTTATTTTTTTTATTTTATGATTGTAGGATATTTATAAAGCGCACATATCCAGGCAACTAGTGCATGCTCAAGGCGCTGGTATTTTTCCCTCGATCATTGGATGTCAGTCTCAACGGCACATCGTATTATCCGTCCCTGCATCATAGTGGTTGAGTCTCTGTAAACAGAGGTCTCAGGCTGGGGGATTATAGCATCTACCTGGCGGGATAGTGTCTGACTCTGAATGTGTATGTGTCGACAATAGTGAAATATAGTGTGTATGGCGACATGGTTTATGAATCTCAATAATCGTATTGGCGAGATAGAACGCAGTGGATTTAGGTGAAATAGACTTTGTTATTGTCTCCGAATATATCGAGAGTGTACGGAAGCACATTAATACCACTGTATATCGACATATACATCCACTTACATCTACGTGAACGGTACTAACATCTACTTAGGAGATACTTTTATCCACGGGAAAATACTGCATCTGTGTAGATGATACTTTCAACTATGTACACGATATTTCTCTATGCATATATGATACTCACATGTACTTAGATCAATTTATCTGGGCTCGGCTTTTTCCACCATAACGCTGATACTTTGAAACGATTATAATTGTAAAATAAAATACAGAAAAGGCCAAATGAAAACCATGAAACTCTCTCCTTACACACACACGCACACACACGCATACACACACACACACACACACACACACACACACATATTTGAAAAATCTATATCTAACGCATGCTTAAACTATACCCAACTAGAATCGTAAGTCTCAGTAACGTCACCATTATAATGTCATATATTAAGGACATGAAAGTATCTTCTCCGAAGAAGAGAGTATCTTTCACACAAAGGAAATAATCTTCAAGATAGATAAAAGTATCGTCTACGTATGTACTATCTTCTATTTTGAATAACGCTTGGACATGCATCTCCTTTAATTAGTGACTCTATAGGATTATCCAAAGGAGAATTGTCGTTTTAGTATCTCGTATGTAGGAGGCAATGGTGGTCACATTGCACATGAGAAATAATGTAGAAAAACACGGTGAAGCCATGAATCACAGGTTTTACAATGACCACGTAACAGTCTGGTGTCTGTTGTTTGGGCAGGCTGTGTATACCTTTTGCAAATTAGTATATTTTAGTTCACAAGTTTTCTTCCCACATATACGTCTAGTGTTTACTGAGTGGACTGAAGGGCGTGATAGCATGGTATTTTAAACTATTAAACTAAAATGCAGTTGTGTATGCAAACGTCTTGAAATGTTTTCCCGCTTTCACTTGTCAGAATGAAGCCAACACATGATGTAGACCGTGGATATGCCTGGGTCGTTCTGTTCGCCTCATTCTGTGCGATGTTCATCTGTGGGATGATGGTGTATTCGACTGGGGTCATCAATACCGCCATCTTGGAGGAGGTTGACAGCGACCTCTCGCGGACGTCATGGGTTGGCTCGACAATGCTAGGGACTTTCACCTTCATGGGTATGATTAATAAGATACTTTCATAATACACTGTAGGTCTAACTTCCTTGTGGACCTAAATGCATTTTATACAAGGTCATCTCCGCCCGCTGTAGGTTCTTAAAGATAGTGAAGTTAGTTTGATGATACGAAATGATTCGAATTAACTTCTTCTAGTTCGCTAGTCACGCCGAAGGCCCGGGTTGATTCCCCACATAGATACACTTCTGGTGTCCACGTAGTGATAATGCTGGAATATTGCTAAAAGCGGCGTAAAACTAAACTCACTCACTCACTAAGTACTGTTGATGTGTCTTTGAATTCGTCACCCACTCCATTGTACATGGAATGCATTTTATTAACTCTTTTTTTTTAGATACACTGCAGTTATCCCTCCTTTATTATTAAGAAATCATTTTCGACATTTTCGTTGAAAGTTTACTTATATTCGCAATTAATTTCCGATTACAACTGTAACTCTATAATCACAATTCACCTTGCCCAGTATTTCTGTGGCTTATGTGAGTAAGCACTCTTTGTTTCTTTGTTGTTTAACGCCTCTCATCACTGGCTAATGAAGATAGTATAATCAAAATAACCAAGTCTGGAACAAGCAATCTAGTGATTGACATTATAAGCATCGATGTTCGGAGTTGGTATACGATGACATCTATCAACTATTACGAGCAACACTTCTTACGCAACGGGGTGAAAACGAACCAAGAGAAAAAACATTCAAACAAAAACCATACATTCACTGTGAACTATTCTCCAGGTCCTTTGGCGGGTCTGATCACCAAGAAACTGGGCTACAGGTTAGCCTGTTTCGGGGGGAGGAGTACTCATCCTAATGGGACTCGCTGCAGCATCCTTTGTTCATGACGTCACCGGACTCATCATAACATATGGAGTTATTGGAGGTGATCACGAGATGTATAGTCAGTAATGAATTTCTTGGAAAGCAAGTTGTCGCTTCAGTAATTATGGGGCTAAAAGTACGTTGAAGGGTCACAGATTGTTACACATGAAGCTTCGGCAAAGGTATACAAAGATGAACGTTCCATCGTCTTAAGTACAGCAGAGCTACTTATTACCATACTACGTTAATTAAGTACATTTTACGCAACAACATTTGACATATGCATAGGTAATCGATGTATCGTTTTGTTATTATCCATTAATTTAACAAAGTGCTAAAGAATTTCATTATAATGCCAGAAAAAGTACACAAAAAGAACAACTACTGTTTTACCTCAATCTGTATTCGGTTGTTAGTTGACTCGTTCATTCCGTCTGTTCGTAATTCATTGTCCTATAAATTGGCAGGGTTCGGAGTTGGACTGGGACTGAATTCCTCGGGTGTAGCTCCTGGCCATTATTTTGTCAAAAAACGAAGTCTGGCGTTTGGTGTGACTGTATCAGGTGCTGGTATGGGCATGTTTACTGGAGGTCCTCTAAGTCAGATGCTGATCCAGGAGTACAGTCTCAGTGGCTGTCTTCTTATCTTGGGCGCCATCGCCTCCAATATGTGTGTTGCAGCCTGCCTCCTGAGACCCGTCCCAAGCACCAGAAAGAAAATGACAGATGACACCAACCATCAAGCGGGCACATGCATTTCAGAAACATCTTTCGAACATACAGCAATATCAAGAGAAGAATGTTCTGTCGACAGTGTAGAATTTATGTCTGCAGTAGAACCACTGGTGACTGACAATTGTAGTGGTGGGACTGCACAACATTCCATGAATCATCAGGAAAACCACATTAAATCGAAACATAAAGGTAACACGTTAGAAGGGAAGTTTCTCCCTTTGACATCCACTGATGACGAAGAATGCTTCATAGGTGCATCCAACAATTCTGGTAAGATGACCAAAGACAATAACACACACTGTAGTTCATGTTACGAGAAAGGATCGCCGAACCCTTTCAGAAATTGCCTCAAACGCATAAGGAGAATAACTATACTAAACAAATATGGATTCATCAGCTACTGTCTTAGTTTTCTGTTCTGGGCACTCGGGGAAGGCGCGTGTCTCTTCCACCTTCCCAACTATGCCGAACATAAAGGCAGTACAGAAACTGAAGCAGCTAGTCTGTTCACGGTCATGGGAGTGGGAAGTGTCATTTCTAGACTTCTGACAGGGTTTGCTGGAAGTGATGCCTCGGTGGATTATGTGACACTTCACATGGGACTTTTGGGAATCTCTGGACTCCTAACACTGTGTTTTCCTCTTTACTCAAACTCCTACGTTCTTCAGATGACATTTAGTGCTGCATATGGGCTGTATAGTGGTGGTCTTAACACTCTTATCAGTCCAATAACCATAGAACTAATGGGCTTGAAGCATTTAGCTATTGGATCAGGCATCGGGAACTTCTTTCGTGGAATTGGTTTCTTCGCTGGCCCTCCTCTTTCAAGTTAGTATTTTCCTTTCATTTAAGTTTGACCTTTCTCGCAATATTATATTTTATTTGAAAAAAATCAAATGGAAATGAATACGCATTTTTTTGCAACCATTAAGAGACCTCTGAAAACAGAATATGATTCTTTTTATTTGATTTTATCTTGTGACACTCAGAGAACACGTGGCAGTCGTGAAAGCACAAGTCTAAGTGGATGATTCAGGTTGACCTTACCCAGGTGGATATTGTATCATAAACGCTGATTAGCTGCTGTTATCTGATAACCTATGTTACGAATGGCCATTTTGCCCATTTGCATTAACTTTTGGAAAACTTCTCCATTTCAGGTTTCATATATTCAGCGACAAGGCGTTATGACTTTACGTTCGTATTTGCAGGTAAATTCAATAAATCACTTAGAACACTGAGAGAAATAACGTAATTTCCAAAATATATTTAAAATATGTGATTCAAAATAAAGTATTTCGATGCTTGAAAACATGAAGCTTTAAAAGTATGGCAACACCCGATAGTTTTCCCAGATTTAATATACTGCCTTAACAATAGAAAAGGAAATAATTAAAATCTATGATGTTCATATTTGATCGTAGCAAGTGCATATCTAAGAACAATGTATGGTTGTGCCCGATGGTTGCAAATACTCATACAAACATACTTACGATTTGAATTTAAAATGAGAATTAAAATCATAAGCAATGCTTTTTTTTTTTTCATGTGTATATAAACATTTGTGTATGTTTCTCGTTTTTGGTTGGTTTTGTAGAATCCCTGGCATTGATTATGCATGCAATCTGAATGCGGAACTAAAGCCACGTCACATAGTGCCAAACCAAATAACTAACAAACCTAGAAGTGATAATGATTCAAAAATGGTTTCTCTTGACCACTTGATTGGAAACGTACAAAGCTGTTTTTGGTTTTGCAGGAACTATTCTCCTGCTTGGGGCATTCTTTGGTGCCTTAGTGGGAATCTTTGGGAAACAATCGCAACAGATGCAAAATATTCACAAGTCTGAGGAAGTTCAAGAGGCTATTGAAGAGTCTCCAAAGTGATAGGATGGGTGATATCCACAGCAAGTCTGAGTTGACGTTCAAAGAGCTCCGCTCCACAAGGTGGCTGCCAATGCAGCAATGACACCAATGCTACCTCATCAGTTGCCTTGCCAATACATGATCGGTCGAAATGTGCGACAGAAAGAATAGTTAACGCATCTTCATGATACAATTATGGAATATTCAAAAACAACATTTTTGTTTGTTTGTATTTTTTCTCTTCAGGAGAATTCAGAAATGGAATAACATATGAAATATCTATGACTATTTGCTTTGTTAACATCACAGTGTAACTAATTCATATCGAGAGCTTTTCTGTTTTACCACAATATTGCCATGGCCTGCTGGTTTAACAACAGATATAACCGGTGAAGATCCGGGTAAAAAAGTAGAATTGAACAAAACATGCTTGTCGTAAGTGGATCGCTGGCTTGTTTGACACATGTCATCGTATCCCAGTTGCGTAATTCGATGTTCATGCTCTTGGTCACTGGATTGTCTGGTCCAGACTCGAATATTAACAGACCGCCGTCATGGTTGGAATGTTTCTGATAAACGAACAAACGACAGATATACAGTCCGTTTGAGTAAAAGTCTCCCCAATGAATTGCACTCTCACTCAAAAACAAAGAATCGTAAATGACTCAAACCAACGGAAAGGTAAATAGGAAAAACACACCAACGCTGCAGAATTGTGTCATAATTTCTGTCTACAAAATAGAAAAAGTCGTTTAACAAGCCATCATTGTTTTCATTTGCTATATCACGATTTGTGACAAGGGTGTAGCGACAGCTCAGGTGACAGCCATTTAAGCGTGAGACACGTGCAAACTTGTCACGTGACTGTTTATCCTACTGGTTGAGCGATTGATTCATCTCATACAAGTTCACTTGTGATGCTACGTTACTCAAACGGATTGTAGTTCTGAATACACGTTGAGAACGTCTGTCCAATAGCTGACAAAATGCGATCTGTAAATGCACGTTACCATATAGAAAGTGATCTAATGCCACAAATGTTATAGTTGGGATTATTCTTTCTTACTAAAGTGAAAATTCTATTACGCACAGGGATTCACCTTCACACTCTCACCAGTAAGGCACCTAATAGTGACTACACAAATTCTGCGATCTTACCCACTCAGCCACCGTGATTTCAAAAACAAAATATGAAAGCCCGGCAACTGGTAATCCAGTCCATGTACTTTGTGTACAAAGAGTCACACAGGTGTGTGCATGTATGTCGCTATATTCCAGAATAACCCACTTTCCTTCGATTCACCTTCCACAAAGCGAGAGGCGGTGGGGTAGCCTAGTGGTTAAAGCGTTGGCTCGTCACGCCGAAGACCCGGGTTCGAATCCCCACATGGGTACAATGTGTGAAGCCCATTTCTGGTGTCCCCCGTCGTGATGTTGCTGGAATATTGCTAAAAGCGGCGTAAAACCAAACTCAGTCAGTCAGTCCACAAAGCGATCGTAAGTCTAGCCCGGCCGCCGTAGTGATTGCATTGCTTCGTAATACAGGGACCAGATCGTCCACCAGTGTATCCTATTTCCTTTTTTTCAGTATTTCCCTTGAGCAGGGGCGGTGGGCTTACCTAGTGCTTAAAGCGTTCGCTCGTCACGCCGAAGACCCGGGTGTAATTCCCCACATGGGTTCAGTGTGTGAAGTACATTTCTGGTGTCCCCCGCCGTGATGTTGCCAGAATATTGCTAAAAGCTGCTAAAAACTCACCCACTCATAAAATAAAAGTATATATAGTCCAGACAAGACATTTCCTCCTGAAAGTTACTGGAGTAGTACAATTAAGTTGATAATATATCTGAGGAGAATAGTATGAGTGTACTCATTCGCGCTACATCAAAATTAACATGAAACTGGGCGTTGCATTTCGGTGAGCGTGTCCTGCCTCAAGAGTAACACAAAGGCATGTAAATTGTCCACCTGAAAAACACACGGGAATATATGATAAAAATCAAAGAAATGCAACGGCCATACATATTGTCACTGATCTAAGTCAAATTTGGTAATGTCTTCCATGAAACATTTCAGCCTTGTGGAATGACCTGCCAACATCCCTCAAAATAGCTGAAACCGTTCCTTCCTTCAAATATAATCTAAAGACTTATCTCTTTCAAAAGACTTTTCTCTAACATTCACCTTGTCTGAGCAGCGCACAGAGCATGCTACTTCGTGAATAGATGCGTTGTAATAATGCACATATTATTATACTATGCAAGGGCGTACGATAACTGCCATACTGCTCGGTTCACTGAACGAGCGAACTGAAAGGCTGCCGATGTCAATGAACTTGTCAATCTCGCGTGACGTGCCAAGTCCCTAACGACAACAATCACAATAGCTACTACGCTGAGGACAGAGACACACATAAATCAACCTGACCTACTTCCCCCTACGACAAACTCACAGTAAGGTCAGGTTAACCTATAGCATAGTTTGTTCCCGTTCACAAAGACGCATACTGCATTGGTTATATTCTGTTGCTTGTTCAGTGAAGCATGTTGGGGTAAACGAACGCACAGCCTCACGGCTCGTCTCTATGTGTCTCGCTTTGCCTCTTCTCCGACGCGGTGTGATATATGTAAACTGGTTTTTTAAAGCAGTCTCAAGCCAGATTTAATTACTTCGATGTAAACTAACATTTACAAATATAGTGTTCTGCAGTTGGGTGGGAATTTGGGGGAAAAGTAGACTAACGCTTAGTCTCTGAATGTATATAATTTTGATAGTAACAAACAATACTCAAACATACAACTCAATATATTAAATATTGAAGAAAGGGAGGAAACGATAGCCAGTCAGC